GACGCACAAATGAATTGACTTAACTCACTTATTGCTGAGAAGTGAGTGCTACACAATCATAAGTCCGCTGCCAAGAAAACAGCGATTGTGAAAAATAATTTTTGAACTTTTAAAATAACATTATTTTTTTTTATAAATGTAAGAGTATTTTTTATAATTTAGCTACATATAACATAATGGTCAAATAAACCAAGGGTTGTTGGTTCAATTGAACCAACCACATCTTCCTCTTCTTCTACCTTAGGTTAGAAACCATCGCGTGTCGATGGCTCTATACCTGTAAAACTTGTATTCGTTAGTTCGTTCTAAGGGTCAGCTAGAGTTGGCTTCTTCTTCAAATTTGTAGTCCTAACATCCGTGGTACTAAACTTTTATTCATTAGCTCGTTCTAAGTGTCATTCAAATGGTTTGTACGAGTGTTCAAAGCATCAAAACTTGTGGGTATTCTTCCTCTGAAGCTAAAGAGATAGGTCTCATACAATATGAATTTTGAAGTAAAATGTCTAGTTTTCTCGGTTCATAATATAGAATGTCAACCCAAAATTGAGAGTTTATCTTCTAATTTTTGCAACATTTATGTTCTTCACCAAAGTTAGTTGATAACTCTCCAAAATTTTTGTAGTTAATTATGCACTCATACAAACGGTTTTCTCATTATTTGCTCCATTTGTTCTAGTTAGTGAGCATGAAATAGTTCATTGTGATTTAACATGAAAAGAATATCAATTTGCTTGAATCAAGTCTAATTGTACATTTAATTGAGTTATTTAGCAAAATTTCAGAACATTTATATTGAACCATGATGATGTAGCAAATCTGGAAACAAATTGGTGACCCTCGTTCTAAAGCAATTTAGAAAGTAAACTTTTGGGGATGACATAGAAATTTTAATCCACATGGGACATTGACAACCTAATTAAAGAAGGACGATTTTATTCTTCTAAACCCTAAATGGAAAGAGCAAACAATATTCGGCAGTTCGATCTATGATTTATCATTCATGGACGTTGATAAGATCCTTCCATTTAGCAGCACCTTAGGATGGCATAGCCTTAAAGTTAAGGGCGAGGTTCAAACGAAGAAAGGCTTACGGTGGATACCTAGGCACCCAGAGACGAGGAAGGGCGTAGTAAGCGACGAAATGCTTCGGGGAGTTGAAAATAAGCGTAGATCCGGAGATTCCCGAATAGGTCAACCTTTCAAACTGCTGCTGAATCCATGGGCAGGCAAGAGACAACCTGGCGAACTGAAACATCTTAGTAGCCAGAGGAAAAGAAAGCAAAAGTGATTCCCGTAGTAGCGGCAAGCGAAATGGGAGCAGCCTAAACCGTGAAAACGGGGTTGTGGGAGAGCAATACAAGCGTCGTGCTGCTAGGCGAAGCGGTGGAGTGCTGCACCTTTTAGAAAAGAGAAAGAACTCTAATCCATCCATTGTTGAGTAGACAAAAAATGATAGATTATGTCAAAGAGGTGGACGTGAGAGCTCAGAAGATGGAAACTTCAATTGAAGAGTTTGATGGCTCTCTAATTTTGTACTCTCATTTCATATTCTATCAATTTTATATAATTGATATGTGAGTTCGGTAAAATTCAGTTTGTATAGAGAGCTAAACTTTATGCAGAGAGTTTTGTGTAATTTAAGTATGTTACGGTATGGTTTTAGTTTATTAAAAAGTTTTTAACCATGCTGATATCATTAAAATTTTAGTCCAATATTAAAGTCTAACTACGATATTGATATCTCAAATACTGATGATTCGAAATCATTAGACGAAATTGTTTTGCTACGATATTCCCAACTATCGGATTTTCGTCAAGCTAATTAAAGGCTCTATGCATTGTCAAAGACGTAAAACAGGTATTTGCAAATAGCTTGAAGCAACTGTACGTTCTTATCTTTTTTTTTACAGACAAGCCAAAGATGTTTTGTCTTCTTTTGATATTCCCGGAATAATAATACACAGGAAAAGCTAGAGGAAAATGAAACAAATGCGGTGATGATAAGAAGAGCCAAGGAGGAAGAGAAACAAACAGGTATAGAAAGATCAGAAATTTATGATTAAGCTCGTAATAGTTTATCATAGCAAACAATGAAACGATAAAAATTGATATTACTAGATTCCTAGTGTTGATGATCAAAACGGCAAAACGTAAAATATAACTTTCAAAACCACGAGAGCAACAGCAAAACGTAACAGATCAAAGACAATATTTGCTAGCGGTGGGGTTGGACTATTACAAAATACAAATTTATCCCGTATAAATCTATAAAATATGGGTAAACTTCAATCACAATGATGATATTTGCAAATAATTCTGAGTCTTCTACTTGTGCTCCTATTTTGGCCAATTTTTCTACTTTTTTAACCACCACCCGTTGAATGCAATTCTTCATTGCATTCTTCCACGGTCCTGATCTGTACGATTCATTAATTAAATTTGGGAGATGATTATTTAAACATACAGTTGCGGAAACACAGGGATGGCGTTGGAAGATGGGAAAGGAGTTGGTAGGAGTAGCAAACCCATATAAGAGAGTACAACCACATGCAGATGCAGTACACTGGTGTAGTGGTACTGCTAGTGAGGGGGTTGTACTTGCATTGTACTGCACTATACCTAGCAAAGGCCAGGGGTGGCTGTGGTGGTGGTGTTTATTTAAGCCTGAGATTTCACTAATGGTTGAGGGATCCTTCAAAACAAACCCAAATGGCACACAGAAGGTAAGGGGAAGTAGTTGTTGAATTTGGGAGTTTGGTGGGATTGGGGAGAACGGCAGCGGGGAACAGACAGCGCATGGATGGAGTCCTCAACAAAACCTTTGCCTTCCTCTCTTTGTTGGGCCTCTACTCATGCACTGCCTCTTCCCTGGCTGCCTTCATATTCTCATCTCCATCCCCATACTCTTCTTTTGCTTTTATTATTTGTTTTGTTTTAACTTCCATACGGAAACCAGTCTCTTCTTTGTAAGGTGTATGGTAACGGTGAGTTTCCCGTCGTCGGTTGAGGGGGACGACGAAATATTCTTTATAAGGGTGTATAAACCTCTTCTTAACAAAAGCGTTTTAAAAACTTTGAGGAGAACCTCCAAAGAGGACAATATCTGCTAGCGGTGGCTTGGACCATTACAAATGGTATTAGAACCAGACACTGGGCGAGACGTTGGACCCTAAAGGAGGTGGATTGGAGGGTCCCACATCGATTGGAGAAAGAATCGAGTGTCATCGATGACGTTGGGCCCTAAAGAGGAGTGAATTATGAGATCACATATTGGTTGGGGAGGAAAACGAAACGTTCTTTATAAGGGTGTGAAAACCTCTCCCTAGCAAACGGGTTTTAAAAACCTTGAGGGGAAGTCTCAAAGAAAACAATTTCTGCTAGCGGTGGCTTGCACCGTTACAAATAGTATTAGAACCAGACATCGGGCAATATGCCAGTGAGGAGGTTGAGCCTTGAAGGGGAGGTGGACACAAGGCAGTGTACCAGCAAAGACGCTGAACCCTAAAGGGCGTGGACTAGAGGGTCCCACATCGATTGGAGAAAGGAACAAGTGTCATCGAGGACGTTGGGCCCCAAAGAGGAGTGGATTGTGAGATCTCATATTGGTTGGGAGAGGAGAACATGGAAACCTCTCCCTAGCAAACACGTTTTAAAAACTGAGGGAACTCAAAAGGAAAAGTCAAATAGGACAATATCGGCTAGCGATGGGCTTGTGCCATTACATTAACTCTCATCTCACTTGTAGTATTGTATTGTTATATAACAAGTAGATTTTCAGTTATACCTGAATCAAATGCAAAGTGGGCAGATCCTACTTGATGCAATGCTGTTCTTGCGTCTTCACTGCCACTACGAAGAACATGAAGTGAAGGATTCAACAACAGAGCGTCCACGAACATATCCAGATTCTGCCCCTGCATCGCTTCCTCAATGGTATACTTTTAAATAATGTTAAATAATGTTAAATAATGTTAAAAGGCTCATGATATGCAGCAACAGCCTCTTATGAAGGAAGGCCATAAATATATATACATTTTACTTCAAAGGAAAATAAAACTCACCATATACCAATAAAATCACCTGATATCCTTTATGATCTGATTCTATTATGTCTACCACTTTCAAACTTCCAACTTTTCTTTATGTGAGTCTCTCATAACTGTTTTGACCCAAAGAAAATAACCCTTTAGAGTGTGTCGAAATATTATAAACAATGATACCGAGCACGCTATGCTATTGTCGCTTACATTTTAAACTTATCAGTGGCAAGAAAATAAGCTTGTTGACAAAGCAGATTTCATTCGTTTGGCGAATAAGATGCCTCCAAGTTAGAAACCTTACAAGAATGCAGGTAGGCGTCTTACTACTCATTGTGAGACACTAATACCCATACGAGTTTCATTTAAGACATTTTGGAATTTGGACAACAACCGAGCCAAACAAATAGTGAATTGGTAAATGATAGTGTGGCCTAAAGTAACAGCCCAAGCCCACCACTAGTGGTTATTGTCCACTTTGGGTTTTCCCTTTCGGGTTTTCCTTCAAGATTTTTAAAACGCATCAGTTAGGGAGAGGTTTTCACACCCTTATAAAGAATAATTCGTTCTCCTCCCCAGCCGATGTGGGATCTCATACTCCGGTCATCGATTCCGCTTATCACGGACAACATGTTAAGCAGTTCGTACAGTAAAGAAAAATGATACTCATTGTTCGATTGTATTCCATACCTTCTGTCTAGAGCTCAACTCATGTATTAGGGTGCTGTAAGAGGTCTTGCAATTGAGAACATTGAACAAAACTCCCAAACGAAGAATTTTATCTTCTTCGGATATGGCTCTTTCCAAACGGGGTGCCATAAAAAGGGGCTGTTTCTCTCTAGTAATGATATTTAAGTAAGGAAACAATTGTTGTGACTGTGCCACTGCTTTCTAATTATCATATCCATTTAGCTGTTGAAGAGTACTAGTACATGCATGTTTTTAGTTACATGTATTAGGCTCAACAAGAATGAAGTGTGTTCAGCATCAGACAATTTCAAATTCTCCAAATGCAAAATGCATAAGGGAGAAGCAGAGAATGACTATATTGGCAAGGTCATGGATTTTGCAAATAGAATAATGATGCAAAATATTACATTATTAATTTTCCACGTAGTGCCATAATCATTCTTCGATACCATTCATGTATCTAAAAACATGATTGTATGAATCTAACACATGTAACTAAGAATGCATGTACTAATTTATTATCAACCAATGAATCTTCATGTAGGTAACTCTTAACATGCTTCCTCAAATTGAATTCTACATAAAATAGTTTAGGACTTCATTTTATCTTCTTGAACCACATCTTGGATCTTCTGCACATCCTCGTCATTCTTATAAGCTTCTCGAACAATGGTTGTTTTAAGGACTTTGTGAACAGATCTACAATTTGTCCATCACTTTAGCAAAAATTGAGTTCAATAGTGTCTTCTTTACACAACTCACTCAAGAAATGAAACTAAACATCGATGTATGTACTTCTTCCATGCAACACAAGATTTTTAGACAACTGATAGTTGAGATATTAACAATCGAACCAGATTGCTTCTAATCAAGAATTTTAAGCATCTTTCTTAACCAAATTGCTTGGCACGAGCCATGGTGCTACTTCCACAAACTCTACTTGTAGTTGAGAGTGTCACATAATGATCGCAAAAGTACTTCGAGTTGTGTTTTCATGATGAGTTCAGAAAATTTTTGTTGGTCTTCAAACAAGTCTATTGTGATACTTTCAACATGTAAGCAGAGTTTGTGGTAGAAGCAGCATGTTCGTGCCAAGCAATTTGGCTAAACAAGATACTTGAAATTCTTGATCATAAGCAACAAGGCTCGACTGTTATCTACTGTGATAATATGTCAACTATCAAGTTGTCTAAAAATTAGTATGGAAGGAATAAGCATATCAAATTTTTGTTTTTCTTGCGTGATTTATGTATAAAAAGCACTGTTGAGCTCAAGTTTTGCATAAGTGATTAGCAAATCGCAGATCTATTCACAAAGCCCTTAAAACATTCATTGTTTGAGAAATTCAAAAGAAAGATCGAGATCTGCAAGAACCAAGATGTGGTTTAGAAGGATGAAATGATGCAGCATTCGGTGTGTTTCAGTGTGTTCAAGAATCACTTGTAATACATGCATGAATAGATATACATGTTTTTAGATTCATAATATATTAGGAAAGGTCTCAAATTACCTATATATATTTATAATAGGTAATATATATGTATGTATATGTTGGCACTCAGTGGAAAATGAAGAATATAACTTTCTATATCCTTTCTAATAATATAAAGTTTTATCCTCCAAAAATTCAATTCTACAAATTTCTCCATTGTCATCCACTATATCACCCACTATGGGAAAATCCTCTATTTATAATCATTTAATAAATCAAAAAGAATATGGAAAAACCAATAAATAGAAAAAACAATAAATGAATACAAGATATTTAGTTATAATAAAAGAACAAATATGATACATATGGTAAGCCGTAATGAAAGCAAATATCTAGATATTTGTCTATAATAAAGAGTCAAATATGATATATATGTGGTAAACTATAATTCAGGGATAAATATCCTTAAAACTCCAAGAAGCTGAGCGTCGAATTTGAACAAACGTGAAGCTTGGATCTAAAAAAATTCAAAAAGAGGTCGAGAAACACTTTTTGTGAAGATGCCAGCAACCTAGTTCAAAGGAGACGACTGGTTGGGCAGCATGTATTCTTGGCCATCGAAAACTACAAAGGGATAGTTGGGCAGCGGCAATGCTACCTTAGCTCCGACAAGAATATGTCTAACCCACAAAGTAAGAGGGGGAAAACGAGAGGAAGAATGAGAATAGAGAAAGGACCATTATGAGGGTCTTGGTCAAGCCGCAAATAGAACAAAAAAAAAAAAAAAAAAAAAAAAAAACAGAGAGAATGGAAAATCTTCATAAGAATTCCTGCAAATCCAACATTGGGATATATAGAAATTGCAGTTTAAAAATGAATGGGAGTGAAATGAGAGAGAATAAAAAAAGAGAAAGAAGAACCATCAACAATAAGGTGTTGAGAAACAACCATGCGGTGTGAACTATAGAGACACAAGGTAGAGAGTTCAAAATTAGAGCTTGTTGAGAAACAACCATGCGGTGTAAACTATAGAGACACAAGGTAGAGAGTTCAGAATTAGAGCAATAGCTTTATTATGAGAAAAGGGTTAGAGTAAAGAGAGGATTCAATGGTGGCTGTGAAGAAGGAAGGGTGGACGTGGTGGCAGTCAGAGCAAGAGAGGAAGAAGAGGGCAGAAACTGAGAATGCGGACGCTGGCGTGTATTTTAGACAAAGAAAGAAAAAGAGGGGCAAAGACGGAGTGGGGTCTGTGCCTTGTAGACTGGTTTTCCATCGAGCAAATGAGCACGAGTAAGAATATCTCAAGCATATTTTAACGGACTAATAAAGAGACCATCAGGAGTGGGTTAGACATGTTCTCGTCGGAGCCAAGGCAAAATCGACGCCCGATGATCCCTTTGCAGTTTTCAATGGCCAAGAAAATACTATGTCGCCCAACCAGACATCTCCTCTAAACCAGATCGCTGTCATCTTCACAAGAAGTGTTTCTAAACTTCTCTTTGAATTTTTCAGATCCAAGCTTCACGTTCGTTCAAATTCGACACTCATTTTGCTGGGGGTGTTAAAGATATTTAGTCCCGAATTATAGTTTACCATATATATCATATTTGACCCTTTATTATAGGCAAATATCTAAATATTTGTTTCCATTACGACTTACCATAAATATCATATTTGTCTTTTTATTATAGTCAAATATCTTGTATCCATTATTGCACTATCCATTTATTGTTCTTTCCATATCCTTTGTAATTTATTTAATGATTATAATTATATCATGTTTGTCTTGTATCCATCTAATTGATCTTTCCATTTATTATTCTTTTCATATCCTTTGTAATTTATTTGATAATTATAAGTAGAGAATTTCTCCACCGTTTAGGTGGGGTGGTTTCAGCAAATATTCTCATGGTATCAGAGCACACTGATGAGAATCCTATGATTAGGGTTTATGTGAAGGATGAAGGACTGATTGGGAAGAACATGAGAGAGGCTAAGGGGAAATCGAATGTGTTGGAGAAGGTTGAAGTGTTATGAATAGAGTAAAGCAAAGGGTGGGTTTGCGAAGGATGATTTGGAGGCCAAAAGGGTGGAGGCGAAGAGTAATCAATAGGCTCCACCTGCGGCAGCCATGGAGACTACTCCTGCGGCGTCATAGCCAGCAGTAGTGGTGGAGAAGAAGAGTAAAGGATTCAAAAGCCATGAAGAGTAAAGGATTCATAAGCCATCGAAAATAAAGGATCCAGAAGCCATCGAAAATAAAGGATCCAGAAGCCATCGAAAATAAAAGATCCAGAAGCCATCGAAAATAAAGGATCCAAAAGCCATCGAAAATAAAGGATCAGGTTGCTCAACCAAAAGGGCTCTAATACCATGAGAATAGGGTTGCTAAACCAAAAGGGCTCTAATATCATGAGAATATTTGCTAAATCCATCCCACTTAAATGGTGGGGAAACTCTCTCTTTATAATCATAATCATCAAATAAATTACGAACAATAAAATACATACAAGATATATGGCCATCAAATAAATTACAAAGATATAGAAAGAACAATAATAAAATGGATACTAGATATTTGGCTCTAATAAAAATGCAAACACGATACATTATCTCATTCCATTTATTGTTCAGCTTCAACGTAGTACTTAAATACTAAATCTCCAAGCTATGTGATGTTTATACACCAAAGGAGAAAGCACAAGAAAAGTAAGAACAAGTGGTACCTGGCCGATCATATTTAGAAGAAAAATACTCCTGAGCTCATGGCCATCAACCTTTGTTTTATTACGTTGATAAGCTCCATTGATAACCGATGTGATCGTACTTCGCCTCTTCTAACAAGTTTGAAGAGATCCACAGATTTAGTAGGTCAAGCATTCCAAAAATACAGACAAAGATTTCAAAAAGTAACAGATAAATCGATTAGCATCCCAACGTACGAACAGCGAAGATTCAGTAACCCAGCACTAAGCCCAAGCCGAGAATAACTTGATTGCAACGAAGAAAACAAAAAATAAAAGAGATCAAAAGAGATAGAAGAAGAGAACCTGAAGAACAAAAACGAAAAGTTTGAGAAGAAACGGGCTCGAATGATGCAGGATTTGTGCGCCAATGTGGAGCGAGGGATCGGAGTGATGAACAATCCCTACAGTCGCACGATTAATTCCCATATCGCTCTTGTTTCTCAAATCCCTAGAAAGAAGTGTTGTCTGAAACGGGCTCGAAGCCCGTTAGCATTAGAGCTTTTGAGCCCAATATAATCTTTGTTATTAGGCTGTGGACCAATCTTTTAAGCGGCAGAGTGCTAAGATTGATAAACGTGGAAGAAGGCGAGACCACGGACAAGGAGATATTGAGAGAGATGCAAGGCGACGAAGCCAGAATCTTGCTCGGATTCTCTCCCGGTTCCCGCCCGTCTCCTTCCCAGGTGCCGTATCAAAACCATATACACATCTCATCTCTCTCAATTTCCTCTAAATCCATTCTTTCTGATCTCCAATCTATGAGCAATATGAATAGATTTTGAAGATGAATCTTCAGCGACGATCTTTGAAGAAGACAATGGCGGATTGTTGCTCCAAGTAGACGGATGTTTGGTTAGGGTTTATACGTAATTGAGCAATGTGTGTGTTAACGTTCTTGTTCTTCATCGCAGGTAAAAGAAGCTTACAAAAGGAAGGTATGGGATTCTCATCCTGACCTGTTCCCTGCTCATCAAAAGTCTCAGGCCGAATCCAAATTCAAACTGGTAAGGAATAAGGAACGCGTTTCCATTGAAGCCGCGACTATATAATGCGTTCATTTCATGAATCCAAGAATTTGATATATCATCTGCTGCAGATTTCCGAAGCTTATTCATTCCTGTTATCTGGTAATTCTCATGTATTCACAGCTGATCCGATAGATCACCAAAAACGAATTCAATTGCTTCCACGTTTGATTATAGCCTAAACGAAATCTTTGCAGGTGCCCGAAGAGGAGATTCACATTCAAGTAAACATATCATGGCTTTGTTAGTTCATTCTGGGATACGATTTGATGAGCCAACTATGAACAGCTTCATATGAACGGGTTGTAAGAAGGGGGGTTCCGGTCTCGCAAGGAGGGAGAAGAAATCATGCCTTGATCAAGCTTCCCTTCCTGTTACTGATTCTGGGGACTGTTTCACTTGGAGGATTGAATGTTTCCCGGTGAGTTCGAAGCATCAAAACGTTATGAATTGTTCAAAAAAATCCACCATTTTCAAGAAGTTGCTTGCTTTACTTCATTTTTTCAGGGCTTACAAAAAGCAGAAGGAAGCATATCCTTCTCACAATCCTTTTCTTCCTTGAGGCCAGGAAGAATTATGCCAAAAACTAGAGTGTTCTATGTTTAGTTTTGTGATTAGTTTATTTGCAAGAATAAATGTTAAAGGATAGGAAAATTAACAAGCGGATACATGATAGGTGCAAGGGGAAAGAGTGTACATTTGTTATTCTAATTTCAAGTCAAAATTGGTATGCCACAGAGTATTGCTCTGTTAGCGCCTTATATACAACCCGAACACGGGTTAAATTGATTGATTTTATTGTTCGATTCAATGTGTGTGTGTATACTTCACTCTACCCTGCCAAGGTTGCATTGTTCGATACGAATATGCAGTCTGTCTGTCAACAGCAGCTTTGATGAGAGATAGGCAGCCAGCTACAAGCAGTCGGAGGCTGAAGAATGATGCAAAATGGCCAATGAATCGGGAAGTTTCCACGACCATATAGTTGATATAAGATCATGGGTTGAAGAAACTCGAACCATATAAGATCATGGGTAGAAGAAACTCGAACCATATAAGATCATGGGTAGAAGAAACTCGAACCAT